AAAGCTAAAAAATGCATACTATTTTTGAAACACTGTGCTCTGCAAAGTATGGTAGTGTGCTTCAATGCAGTTAATTATGGACATACCCCTATGCAGACATTTCAAGGATAGACACTCCCAGTACAGAATCGCCTTGTACAGGTCACCCCCAACTACAGACGCCTCCAATGGAACAGACCCCCAGTAACCACCAGTACAAACACCCCTCAGCACAGACACCCCAGTACAACCCCGGAAGTATTGACACTCCTCAGTGAAGACATGCGAGAGCAGACCCCCTTCAGTAAAGACTAGAAATTCTGAATCAATCCTCTGCCCACTGCTTTATACCATTTCTAGCAAACTTTCCACAACAGGGATTTTTAGTTTCACATGTATTTCAATACATGTTTAACGTGGCCAATTGCATCAAAATAATCCCTCTCTGGCCAGGCTCTCTTCTACTCTGAAAAATGCAAACGCTCTAGTGGATATAGTGCCATTATAGTGCAGATAGGCAAAAGATGTAGAAGAGCTACAGGTGCAGGTCTGGTTACTGACCTGGACAATGCAATACAGACCCACCTTGTACAGATTCATCCCAAACACACACCCCCCCCAGCAGTACAGATCCCCGGTAACCACCAGTACGGACACCCCAGTACACCTCCCGAAGTATAGACAACCCTCAGTAAAGACAAATTGGTGCGAAACTCTCCCCAGTAAGGACTCCCTCAGTGCAGTCCCCCTCAGTACAGATTCCCCAGTGAAGAAAAGCCAAGTAGAGACCCCCTCAGTTTAAACCTTCCCAGTGCAGATTCACCCTGTACAGTCCACACATCAGTACAGACCCCTCCTGAGTACAGACCCTTCCATAGACACACCCAGTACAGAACCCCTGCACCCTGCATTAATGACCCACCCAGAAAACACAACCCTCAGTACACAAACATTTATTGCACACACATTTGCTGTGTTGATGATGCTCTGGTCAAAAAGGTTCTGCTGTCTGTCCTCCGTAGATGGGTATACCTCCTTCCCCGTTTTACAGTCGAGACAGCGCACACAGACGGGACAGCAGTGCAGACTTCATACTCTTCCAGTCCCCTAGAAGGATCGACCTCAAGCGGAGATCTACCTACTTTACAGATCAGCCGCGAAGGATGCAACCTCTAGGGGGTGCTGAAACAGTATAGAAACTCCGTATGACTTTCACATCAAAGCTAAAAAATGCATACTATTTTTGAAACACTGTGCTCTGCAAAGTATGGTAGTGTGCTTCAATGCAGTTAATTATGGACATACCCCTATGCAGACATTTCAAGGATAGACACTCCCAGTACAGAATCGCCTTGTACAGGTCACCCCCAACTACAGACGCCTCCAATGGAACAGACCCCCAGTAACCACCAGTACAAACACCCCTCAGCACAGACACCCCAGTACAACCCCGGAAGTATTGACACTCCTCAGTGAAGACATGCGAGAGCAGACCCCCTTCAGTAAAGACTAGAAATTCTGAATCAATCCTCTGCCCACTGCTTTATACCCATTTCTAGCAAACTTTCCACAACAGGGATTTTTAGTTCACATGTATTTCAATACATGTTTAACGTGGCCAATTGCATCAAAATAATCCCTCTCTGGCCAGGCTCTCTTCTACTCTGAAAAATGCAAACGCTCTAGTGGATATAGTGGATATAGTGCCATTATAGTGCAGATAGGCAAAAGATGTAGAAGAGCAGGTGCAGGTCTGGTTACTGACCTGGACAATGCAATACAGACCCACCTTGTACAGATTCATCCCAAACACACACCCCCCCTCCAGCAGTACAGATCCCCGACCACCAGTACGGACACCCCAGTACACCTCCCGAAGTATAGACAACCCTCAGTAAAGACAAATTGGTGCGAACTCTCTCCCCAGTAAGGACTCCCTCAGTGCAGTCCCCCTCAGTACAGATTCCCCAGTGAAGAAAAGCCAAGTAGAGACCCCCTCAGTTTAAACCTTCCCAGTGCAGATTCACCCTGTACAGTCCACATCAGTACAGACCCCTCCTGAGTACAGACCCTTCCATAGACACACCCAGTACAGAACCCCTGCACCCTGCATTAATGACCCACCCAGAAAACACAACCCTCAGTACACAAACCATTATTGCACACACATTTGCTGTGTTGATGATGCTCTGGTCAAAAAGGTTCTGCTGTCTGTCCTCCCGTAGATGGGTATACCTCCTTCCCCGTTTTACAGTCGAGACAGCGCACACAGACGGGACAGCAGTGCAGACTTCATACTCTTCCAGTCCCCTAGAAGGATCGACCTCAAGCGGAGATCTACCTAACTTTACAGATCAGCCGCGAAGGATGCAACCTCTAGGGGGTGCTGAAACAGTATAGAAACTCCGTATGACTTTCACATCAAAGCTAAAAAATGCATACTATTTTTGAAACACTGTGCTCTGCAAAGTATGGTAGTGTGCTTCAATGCAGTTAATTATGGACATACCCCTATGCAGACATTTCAAGGATAGACACTCCCAGTACAGAATCGCCTTGTACAGGTCACCCCCAACTACAGACGCCTCCAATGGAACAGACCCCCAGTAACCACCAGTACAAACACCCCTCAGCACAGACACCCCCAGTACAACCCCCCGGAAGTATTGACACTCCTCAGTGAAGACATGCGAGAGCAGACCCCCTTCAGTAAAGACTAGAAATTCTGAATCAATCCTCTGCCCACTGCTTTATACCATTTCTAGCAAACTTTCCACAACAGGGATTTTTAGTTCACATGTATTTCAATACATGTTTAACGTGGCCAATTGCATCAAAATCCCCTCTCTGGCCAGGCTCTCTTCTACTCTGAAAAATGCAAACGCTCTAGTGGATATAGTGCCATTATAGTGCAGATAGGCAAAAGATGTAGAAGAGCTACAGGTGCAGGTCTGGTTACTGACCTGGACAATGCAATACAGACCCACCTTGTACAGATTCATCCCAAACACACACCCCCTCCAGCAGTACAGATCCCCGGTAACCACCAGTACGGACACCCCAGTACACCTCCCGAAGTATAGACAACCCTCAGTAAAGACAAATTGGTGCGAACTCTCCCCCAGTAAGGACTCCCTCAGTGCAGTCCCCCTCAGTACAGATTCCCCAGTGCAGAAAAGCCAAGTAGAGACCCCCTCAGTTTAAACCTTCCCAGTGCAGATTCACCCTGTACAGTCCACATCAGTACAGACCCCTCCTGAGTACAGACCCTTCCATAGACACACCCAGTACAGAACCCCTGCACCCTGCATTAATGACCCACCCAGAAAACACAACCCTCATACACAAACCATTATTGCACACACATTTGCTGTGTTGATGATGCTCTGGTCAAAAAGGTTTCTGCTGTCTGTCCTCCGTAGATGGGTATACCTCCTTCCCCGTTTTACAGTCGAGACAGCGCACACAGACGGGACAGCAGTGCAGACTTCATACTTTTCCAGTCCCCTAGAAGGATCGACCTCAAGCGGAGATCTACCTACTTTACAGATCAGCCGCGAAGGATGCAACCTCTAGGGGGTGCTGAAACAGTATAGAAACTCCGTATGACTTTCACATCAAAGCTAAAAAAAATCAACAAGGATGGTGTGAACCTCCTGCGCTACTGAATAACCAAAAAAAATGAAATAATAGGGATGGTGTGAACCTCTCACACTACTATACACCAAAAATTGTATTCAATGAACTAAAGAGAGAAGCCGCCTACACTACATCATATACCCATGACCTAAAGAAATAAAAATACTAATCAAAAAAACCTCTAAATATATATATAACACATACAATACACCCCGTGAGATGCATATAAATATAAATAATCAAGTGGTCATAGTGATCAAAAAATATATATTAAAGCTAATATCATAAAAAAAAATAGTGTATAAACGCAGTGTATTAGCAATCTTGTGAAAAATTCTTACACATGAAAACTATAAATGATGATGTAATAATAAAACTGTGATCAATCATGCAAATATAGTGCAAAAAATGTCACACTAAAGCGCAAACAAAAATAAAAAATGTGTAGAAAAATGTCCAATGGGTGGGTGACACCACTACTGCAATTACAAGCACACGTGATCATAAAGTGACTCCAGGTGCAGAAACTCCAACACACGGCTAGATTAGCCTCTCACCTCCAGGCTTCGACCCGTGAAGGTCAAAGCGTATAGTGGGATCAAACCCTCAGATCCTCTCAGCATCTACGGATATCCACTGATCCACTTTCCCCATCCATGATATCCTTCTCTAGGGGTCAAGCAGTGGCTCCTCTTATGGGGTATGGGTATGTGCCAGTAAAAAATAAACACAATCTCCACACACTCCAACAGCCCAGCACAAATGGCCAAACACCTCCCACAGACACGAGGCTTTGCGTTCTGGCTGCGTCTCGCAGCGTCCCACTGCCCCTCACCTATCCTTCTGCGCTCCTCCTGTCCCTCTGTGCTCCTTCTCCTGTCCCACTGCCCCTCACCTGTCCCACTGCGCTCCTCCTGTCCCGCTGCCCCGATACACCAATGATGGGACACTATTCCTCCCCCACTGATACCAATGATGGGGCACTTCCTCCCACTCACACACAATCTCCTAGATTGTAAGCTCGAAAGAGCAGGGGCCTTGATCCCCTCATGTTTTGCATTGTATTGGTATTGTTCTGTCACATGTTCTGTCTCCCTCTTGTAATGTACAGCGCTGAGCGAACTATTGGCGCTTTATAAATACTGTATAATAATAATAATATATTCCTCCCACTGACACTCATGATGGGGCACTATTCCTCTTACTGACACTAATGATGGGGTACTTCCTCCCACTGATACCAATGATGGGGCACTATTCATCCCACTGATACCCAATGATGGGGCACTATTCCTTTCACTGATACCAATGATGGGAAACTATTCCTTCCAATGACACCAATGATGGGGCACTTCCTCCCAACTGACACCAAAGATGGGTCACTATTCCTCCCACTGACACCAATGATGGGGCACTATTCCTCCTACTGACACTAATGATGGGGCACTTCCTCCCATTGATAGCAATGATGGGGCACTATTTCTTCCCCTGATACCAATGATGGGACACTATTCCTCCCACACACACTAATAATGGGGCACTATTCCTGCCCCTGATACCAATGATGGGGCACTATTCCTCCCCGATACCAATGATGGGGCATTATTCCTTCCCCTGACCCCAATGATGGGGCACTATTCGTCCCCCTGACACCAATGATGGGGCACTATTCTTCCACTGACACCAATGATAGGGAACTATTCCTCCCACTGACATCTATGATGGGGCACTATTCCTCCCACTGACACTAATGATGGGGCACTATTCCTCCCACTGATACCGATGATGGGGCACTATTCCTCCCACTGACACCAATGATGGGGCACTTCCTCCACTGATACCAATGATGGGGCTCTATTCCTCCCCCTGACAATGATGGGGCATAATTCTTCCCACTAACACCAATGATGGGGCATGATTCCTCCCACTGACACCAATGATGGGGCATGATTCCTCCCACTGACACCAATGATGGGGCACGATTTCTCCCACTGACACCAATGATGGGGCACGATTCTTTCCACTGACACCAATGATGGGGCACGATTCTTCCCACTGACACTAATGATGGAGTACTATTCCTCCCACTGACACCAATGATGGGGCACGATTCCTCCCACTGAATCCAATGATGGGGAACGATTCCTCCCCATACCAATGATGGGGCATTATTCCTTCCACTGACACCAATGATGGGACACTACTACTCCCACTGACACCAATGATGGGGCACGATTCCTCCTACTGACGCCAATGATGGGGCACGAGTCTTCCTACTGACAATAATGATGAAGTACTATTCCTTCCACTGATACCAATGATGGGGCACTATTCCTCACACACTGCCACTAATGATGGGGCACCATCATTGGTGTGAGTGGGAGGAATAGTGCCCCATCATTGGTATCAGTGGGAGGAATAGTGCCCCATCATTGGTGTCAGTGTGAGGAATAGCGCCCCATCATTGTCAATGGGCGGAGCTCTAATAGGAAGAGGTGGAGCCTAAAGAGGAAGGTGTGGAGTTTGCAGATGAAAGGGTGGGACAAATTTAAATGGGGGGGGTGCCCAATTTTAGTCTTGCCTAGGGCAGCGCAAAACCAAAATACACCACTGGCTACAGGACTCCACAAAATAATGCAGCGCCAAGTAGCAAAAAATGGCCTGGTCAGATATTGGGTAAGTGGTTAACCGCTTGCCGCTTGCCTGCCACCCTATAGTAGAAGTACTGCTACAGGGCTGCACAAAATCACGTTTAGATATGTGATGTGCATTTCCGGGTAGAGGTTACGCGAGCGCCTCCCTACCTGCGCCCGCACAGCAGAGAAATACAAAGCAGCATGTCTTTGTAATAAAACAGCACACAGTTAACCCTTTGATTGCCCAAAAGTTAATCCCTTCCTGCCCAGTGTCATTAGTAGTGTCAGTGCTTTTTATTAGCAGTGATCACTGGGGATGTCATTGGCAGTTAGTTCCCCCCCAGTGTCAGAATGCCCACCGCAGTCCCGCTATAAGTTGCTGATCACCGTCATTACTAGTACAAATGAAAATTCCAGTACATATACCGCCATTTGTAGACACTATAAACCAGTTAATTTACATGTATTTGTAGCAGAATACATTTTGGCCATATGACGAAATTTGATTTTTTTACATTTTTTTTAATTTTTTTTTTTTATAGTGCAAAAAAAAAAAAAACGTACAGGCAATCAAATACCACTGAAAGAAAACTATTTGTGGGAAAAGGACATAAATTTCATTTGGGTGCAGTGTTGCATGACTGCGCAAATTGTCAGTTAAAGTAAAACAGTGCCAAAATGTCCTGGTCATGAAGGTGGGGGGGGGGGGGGGGGGGAATCCTTAGGAGGGTAAGTGTTGTGTGAGTCTGAGTGTGATGGAGCCATGTCCCAGACCTGCACTACTACAGGAATAAAGAGGCTGCAAGGTCATCCTGCAATCATCTGCTTCTTCCCATGTTTATCTATTGCTGCTTCTACAGATCAGGGGGTTGGCTGTGCACACAGGAGATCGATCCTATGAAAGATCAGTACATACACATTGACATTCTGTCCCATCACCCAATGATTGCAGACCACAGCTCCCCCTCCAACCACCGGGATCATCCATTCGGGTGTAGCGGTGGCAAGATAAATATCCCATGAAAATCTGTATCCCTGAAGCAACTGCGCATGTGCAGGTTTAAGGCACACCAAGCCTTCGGGGGATACCGATTTACATGGGATACTCATCTTGCCGCTACACCGGCCTATTGATTCCTCTCTCTAGATCCACCCTCACTGAATGTCAGAGTTCATCAGCTGCATGGGGGCGGTCCCAATAACTACTCCACCCCAATTACCTCACCGATCATTCATATATATATATATAGTAATATAAAAGATACACAGTACCTGCCCCCTGCTCCGCGATCTCCTCCTTCATTCGCTCAGAGATGAAATGATCACTGCCCACATGTCGCTGGCTCCACCTGCTTGCACAGGTTTCACAGTCCATTGGTTCGTCGGTCTGCCACTCTGCAGCATCGAATCGATGTTGATCCCAGGAGCGCCAGCTCCAGACTGAGCAGCAGTACTGGGGTTGCTAGGCGACGCGTGTGTGTCTCCTCCCACTTCTGATTCACAGGCTCCTCCCACTTGTGATCCAGAGGCTCATCCCACTTCTGGTCCACAGGCTCCGCCCACTTGTGATCCACAGGCTGCGCCCACTTCTGATCCACAGGCTCCGCCCACTTTTTTGCCCACAGTCTCCTCTTTCCAATAGAGTCTGGCTGCAGAATGGAGCTCCATTTTTAATAGGAAACACATGACTTCCACTCCCCTTTTTTTTGCTAGTGAACTTTAATGCAACAAACGAGCAGAGGATGTAGAGTGGAGCTCCACTCGGCAGGAAACATGTGACCTTCACTCCAAATGTTTTAAACTTCATTAACAAAAACAAATGGTGAAATGGAGGTCACATGTTTCCTGTTGAAAGTGGAGCTCCGGTCTTCAGCCAGTCTTTCCAATGAAAATCCTTTACTGGGAAGAATGTGGCCAATGAGGAGGTGGACAGCTGTGACCAGGAAGTGTTGGCTGTGTGTTCCATGCGGTGACAGAGGCAGTGATGGTGGGGAGATGAATCTGTTACCGAAGAGCAGTAAGCAGTTCTCCTCCAGCGAGTACTGGGAGCAGTTCTTCCGGCGCAACAAACGAGCAGAGGATGTAGAGTGGAGCTCCACTCAGCAGGAAACGTGACCTTCACTCCAAATGTTTTAAAGTTCATTAACCTCCCTGGCGGTATGATTATTTCAGATTTTTGCTGCTGAAAGCGGTACCATTTTTTTGCATGGAAATATGTTTTTTTTTTTATTGTAGGCCTGTAATTTAGGAATAACTCACTGAAATCTGTCCGAACAAGAGTCTAGTAAACATTCCGGGTATGATAAAACTTGAAACACAAAATCATAAATTATAATTTAATAAATAATCATAAAAAATAATATAAGAATAAATTTAATTAAATAATATAATCAAACCAAAAACACTGAAATTTGCAATACAGCGCCAAGTTCGCACATCGCTGAGCAAAGTCGCAAAATCGTTTTCAGTGTCTGATGACGAATTTCCCCCACT